TCGTTGTATTAGGGGTGAGCAAGTACCGAACCGATACCGAAATTTCCCGAAAAAACCGAGAATACCGAACCGAAAAAGTACCGAGAAGAAACCGAACCGTACCGAACCGAATGGTCGGTACGGTATTTGGGAACGGTACGAGGTGACGTACCATACCGAAAATCCCGAACCGAACATATATACTAAAATATTATAAAAAATAATAACCCGGAGTAATATTTTTTCATATTCCTTCACTAAATAATACGGAGTAATTTTTTTAAAAAAAATTGGTTGAAGTTTTATCATGTGTAAGTTATACTTTTATTTGAGTTTTAGTTTTTGTGTATAAACATAAAAGTATTCACAAAGATTCGAAAAACCCTTTGTTGTCGTTCATTTTTTTAATTTGTGAAATATAAACTATGTTTTGATATGCATCTCTTGCATTTAAATATTTATTTTTTTAATTTTTCACGTTTTTTATTTAAATTCACTTTTAATTTTCAAAAATAAAGGAACATTGTTAAACTTTAAGGTGTAAAGTAGGTATGTATATTCATCCCGATTTGTACGAAACCGATACCGAACCATCCCGAACCATACCGAACCGATATGTCGGGATCGGGATCGGGATCGGTACGGTGCAAAATCCCATACCGAACCGAAATATTTGGTACGGTATCGGTACGGGATAAATACTGTACCATACCGTACCATGCTCACCCCTACGTTGTATGTTAAAAATTTGATATATCAAATTTTTATAACTTTTACTCCATTTTTATTTAAAACTATATTTAACTTTTAATCACAATTAGCATAAAAGTCAAAACAAATACTACCTCGTCTTAGAGTATTTATTTAATTTTACCTTTTGGAGTCAAAATCAATAAATTTTGATTAATTAAATAAAATTTATATATATATATATATATATATATATATATATATATATATGAAAAATATCTTCATTGGGCTTCTTATAAAATATTAATATAGCATGTTTTTATTTAATTAATATAGCATGTAATTTTTATTTAATTATAAATAAATTTTATACTCTATTTAATTTGGCGGAGAAGGAAACAGCTGTCCGCTTTTCAGACATGCGTCACCTGTTGGTGGTGCCCATCCACGCCACAGCCTATCCCGGCAGCAGCCGCTCACTCGCCGTCTCTACTCCGATGTAATTGTTGCTCCTGCTCCCAAATTCCCGCCGGTCCAATCTCCGAAATGACGCCGGCGTCGCGCGATTCCGTGCCGGACGCGATTCCACACGTCGACCTAAGCAAGCTCACCCAGTCGGAGCTTCTCGCGCTCTCCCTCTGCTCCTGCTCCGCCTTCGACACCCGCCGCACCGAGGACCTCGTCCTACCCCAAGTTGACCGCTCCCTCTTCAACGAATCCGCCGGAAGCAGGCGCCAGACCTACTCTCGCCTCCGCCGTTACCACCACCGCAACCACCGCCCTACTCGTTTCCCTTCCAACCCAATTTCCTCCGCTGACCCTTCCAACCGAGCTGTAGTCCATTACCTCAAATACTTCTTGAGAAATCCCGATTCTGACTCTCCCCCACCTCCACCACCTCCTCCTCCGTCTTCTCGCCCAACACAGCCGCTGGCTCTGCAGCAAATTTCCGGGCTTCTGGCACAAACAGGGAATGGAAAGAGGAAACAAGGAACCAAAGATGATTTCTATGTGAAGCCGAGGGTACAGGCGAGTGGTGTGGATAATGAATTGGAGCTAAAGAATAAGAACAATGTGGTGGTTGATTTTACAACAATGGAGAATAATGGGGATGGAGTATTTGGTGAGGAATTGAGGAGGAGAACTATTGGGTTGGAAAGTGAGGGGGATGCTTTAGGTTTCTTGAGTAGCTTGGAGGGGCAATGGTGTAGCCGGAGGATGAAGAGGAAATATGTTGATGCTAATGATTTCGGGGACACATTACCAGTTGGTTGGAAGCTGTTGATAGCCCTTAGAAGACGGGAGGGGCGTGTCTCCGTGTATTGCCGCAGATATGTAAGGTATTTTTCGTGGTTTATCACATTTGCACTCACTGCAGTGTGTTTATGTTCCATGATTCCATACATTGTTGTGTGGTCGCTTCATATACTGTTTGTTCCGTGTTAAACTTCTGTGTTTGTGAAAAAAATTGGTTTGCGTACAAACTCTGCAACTTAATGCATCGGAATGTAGATCTAACAGTTATTCATGAAAGAAAGTGTTCTTCTTCATGTTCTTACTGGAAGTAATTTTCTGTCTTGTTATAGATATCTTGCCTATTTCGTTATACCTAAAGGACATTGACACCTATTTTCTAAAGCTTGCAAAGTAGCTGTGTTTCTTTTATCGATCCTCATAAAAATATCATAACTCCTTGGTAGCTACAGTTCAACTTCACTTAGTGTTTACTAAAACAATTTGGAGTATGAATTATGAAATTAGCCTTCTTTGTCCCCATAGTGTATAGTTCATAATCCCGATTAACGTGTGACCTTTCAAAGGGTTCAATGTCTAATGAAAGTTGAAAAACAGTTTAATGTAATGTAAATGATCTAAAATCAAATTGCACGGCCTTCTTTGTAAAATGAAGTCAAGACATAAACAACAACAGTTCCGAGGTGGAAATGTCTGAATTAATCTTAAAACTATACGCAATTTGATGCAACTGGAGTAGTAGGCTTTTGACAATCTCTGATTAGAACTGCCTGTGAAAAATTTCTAGAAATATTTGCTATTATTATTATCATTATCTTCTTTTCTATAGATGTGATCTTGTCCATTTTTTCCAGCCCTACCGGTCAACAGTTTCTATCATGCAAGGAAGTAGCAGCCTTCCTGCGATCCCACTTTATGTCAATTGATGCAAATCAGGTCACAGATCACAGGCCATCACCCATTATGCAACTCACTGGTTCAAACTCTGAAAATGTAAGCATCTAAAGTTATTATGCAGCTTTGTATACTCATATTGCTCTTACAGTGCGTTAAAAGAGATACTTCCAGAATGTAGGTTCTCTCCCTGGTGATGATACTGGAAACCATGACTTGGATGTCCATTCAGTGACTGAGACACAAGGTAATGAACTTTTTCTGGAGGGGATTGATATCCTTCCTGATGTTCTGCTTAAAGACCTCTTTGAGTGTTATAAATGCAACGTGAGATTTCATGAAAAAGATGCATATTTGGAGCATCTGTTATCGTTTCACCAGCACACCACAAAAAGGATAAGAACAACGCCATCTGTTGGTGAGGGCATTATAATTAAAGACAGAAAGTATGAATGTGAGTTCTGCCACAAGGTATTTGAAGAGAGGAGTGCTTATAATGGCCATGTAAGAATCCATGTAAGAAACAATGTTAAAGGTTTTGAAGGATTATATTCGGAGAAAAGTGTTGATGCTCCCCAGCCTCATATTGGCCTTCCTATAAAAACATCTAGAATGGAGGCTTTAATTGATATAGGTCAAAATTCCATTTCTGAAACTAGAGCTCCTGATACATCCAACACGCACTTGTTATCTGGCATTGTAAATTCAAATGAAGTAATGGCTGCGAGTACTGACAGAGAGATTGAGCCAAGAACTGATCCCACAGAGGTTGATTTGGTTGATACAAATACTGAGAGAACATTGGATCATGGTGCAAATCAGTGCGATGAAGAAACTGTAAAGAGTTGTGAAACACAGACTACTGAAGTTAATCTGACTGAATCTTCAAAATATAATTGTGAGCACCCTGAGGTTGAAAACATGCAAATATATGATCCTCAAGAGCATGATGCAGGCCTTCGCGAAAACACGCACAATGAGCCAAACAATCCTGTTGTTGTACCGGAGACAACCCAGATGACGCTTAAGGAAAATGTATTTGATGAAGGGGTAACTGACTCTACAATGGCTATTTCTCAAACATTAGACGACTTTGATACATTCACAGTTGGGGCAAATAAGGTATTTGAGGTTCTTCCATCTATATCTTTTATGCCAAGTCACCCGTCTTTTGAGATGAAAAACTGCCACTGTGGCGTAGCTTTCCATGCATGTGTGTGTTTTATAGAAACCTGGCTGTGACTCTTTTAGTAATTATACACAACAATTATCACCTCGATATGTAAAGAGCCTTCAAAACTGCAGTAAAATTTGAGGTCTATTCTTTTCCATATTCCATTACAATTATTTAAGATTATTTTATAGCATATACAACAATGTGAGGCAACCAAACAATTGGATGAGAATTAGAACCCGTATGCCCATACCAGATAGATCTTTGGAGGCTGACACAACTACTTGAGATTATCTCCTATGTCATTTCCATAAAATGCCAGAAATTTTTTTCCCTACTTTTATAGGCAGAGATAAGGTTTGCGTAGAGTCATACAACTACCCTCCCAAAACCCATTCGTGAAACCTTACTAGTTTGTTGTTGTTGGAAAACTTCAACTTTATGTGTTCTACAGTTCTACCATCATATCCTAGAGTTGTAAGTGGATGGTTGTATTTTTGAATATTTAATGCATCTTTGGATCAAGAATACATGCAAACTTTGTTGCTTTCTTGGCATTCGATGTTCGAAGCCATGATTTGTTTTACATCGTCATGTGCAGGAACAGGATGGATTTTGTGTTTTGAAAATTGAGAATGAAATCAGCTTTGAGGAGCTAACGCTGGATGATATCGAGCCATTTAAATTTGATTTTTCCGAGGGGCATGATGGATGTGGGATGGAAGTTGCTTTTAACAACTCCTCCCTTGGATTTGGTTCAGGGGAAGCAGCTGTATTAAGCATGGGTAAGACACACCAGCTTACAACTGTGTGTGTATGGTGCAGATCGGAGTTTATTTTGGAAGCTTTTGAATCAGAAACTCAATCCGACTCTATTGGGTATATGTGCCCAGAATGCAAGGCCAAAATTTCAGGCCACTTGGAAAACGGTCTTTCCTTGAGTTCCCATGGGTTCTGATCTTCCGATGGTGACACATGTGAAATGTCTTAATTTATGAGGTATTTCTCTCCCACCATATCAATTCTTTATGAAAAAATCAGCAATAAGACATCATGGACGCAGAGTTATAGGTTTCTGTTTGGTAGCTAATTTGCAACTAGTTTTCCTTATCAGCAGAATGAGTAACTTTTGAACTGTGGAGTACTCATTTGGCAAAAAAATGATGTTACCAAATGCTTTTCCTGCCAAACAATGACTAATTACTTGTTTTCCTTGCAGTGTGCTATATTAGGCAATAGTCTTCTGAGGGAGTGATTTGTTATAATATACGGAGTATATTAGCGCGTGTGACTATAGTCGGGCAACCTTCCAGAATGTGGGGATTTTTGTTTCGTCACTCTGTGCATTATTAAGTTTTCATAAATGTCAGTAGAATAGCACTTATTTTAGGTCGACCGTTTATGCTATCAGACTAATATATACAGAGATGAATATATTTATGTAAATATTTATATATGTATTTACATCATCTCATGCTTTGCTCACATGTTCTTATACTACGTAATACGTATTATTCATCCCCCTTCCCCTTTTGAACCCCAAACCTCTCATCTACATAATGCTACATCCTTTGTGTCCGTCCCTTGTTTCCATTTTGGTTCGTCCCAAAATGTTTGTTTCATATCCCATACTAAATTTGTCATGTTCGTGCTTAGCGAGACAGAGCTAGGGAGTTACATTTTTGCGATCAAACAATCACTGATTGATCAAAAACGGCCTCTCGAATCTCAATCCGTCATGGGGTGGAGGTAAGATCGGCGTACACCCTACTCTTTTTCAGACACCACTTTTAGGAATACATTGGGTTTGATGCTTTCTTTATCACAACTAGATGCCAAGTGATTAAGACTTTTGAGTTTATCATTTAATTAACTATTTAAGCTGTAGAGGAAAAGCATCTTAAATCCCCCCCACCACACACCCAATTCTTATGCCATATTAGTTGTACCAAAAATGTAGAGGAGCATCTTTCCATTTTCATCACACTTGCCTAAAGCATCTCACGTTGATAAAAAGAATTTATCCTTAAATTAATCTTTTATGAATATTTTCAAATGCCCGATTTCTCATTTTAAGTCATATTATAAAAAAATACTTCAATAAGTTGCTTACAAAGTTACAAGTTGAAATTACTCTGTACTTATCAATAATAAGCAAATAAATACTAACCCCAACAAACACTCCATTAGTAATTAGAACAGGATCATAAATTTGATAAACTAATTGTGATGGTGTATTTAGAACACACGCAAACGTGACTTCTTTGTGCCTTGCACGTCTCTTTTTTAAAGAACTTGGTGGCGGTGAGTTTCGAATTCGTGATCTCGTGGTTACCAAGACTCCAATATCATGTCAAGGAATCAATTTAATCAAAAACTCAAGTTTGTAGTTGTAGTCCAGAAATTTTTTTTTATATACTCTTAACTGTTCAAAAAAAATAAAGTGCTAGCTCTCATATTTCCCCCACCACTTACCCCATGATCTCGCATGATCATGGGTCACGTTCCCATGTCTCTTAATTATAGAGATGTGGGGGCAATTTTCTACATTTGGTTAACCTTTTTGTTCCTTTAAATTCTATAGCCTAAAGAAAGGATGGGGCTCTTGAAATACAAAGAGCATAATATTGCTTTGTCTTTCTGATTACTACTTGCGATCCATATTCAACTCACCTAAACAGCAAAAGCTAAAACAAAAGGTGGCTAAACCATTGGATCTACCCGCCTTAGCTTTAACCTAAAGCTGTCAACCCGAATCATCATACCATTCCACCCATTGAAATAACCAAAGTCGTGTCATAGATTTTTCGTGAGGTGTTATAAGATTTGACCGATTTTATCTTCAATTTAATTTATATGATTGTTGTCTTGTAGGTGTAAACATTTTAAGATAAAATTTTTATAGTAAAAACTACATAAAAATTTTTTTACAAAACAAGACAAGACTATATTATTATTATATGAAATTAGTACGGAGTAAAAATAAGCTAACAAAATGAGTTAAGTTTAACTCTGTGAATAGTGTCTGAAAAGATTTATGGGGAACGGATCGGAGGGAGTATATATTTTTTTTGCAAATAAAAGACCCATTTGGGAATAACATTTTTCGATTAGCGTTGGCGTTTTGGATAAAACGATAACGGCGCAGATTGACTTTGAAAACACTGCCCGCTGATAGCTTTTTCAAAACGTTAATACTAACCTCTAACGCTATTCTTTAACGTGCCCACAAAAATGAGTATAGAATAGAATCTGCTCCTCCACCAACTTTACCTGGCTCTATATATACCACCATTGAGAGTTTGACATGAGCACAACCATAATAATAATAATAAGAAAAAGAAGAAGAAGAAGAAGGTCATTATTTTTTTTCTCAGCTGAAAGGAAATGGCCACGAGGTGTCTTTGGTGTGGCCTAATGCTACAAGTTCCTCCCCATGCACAAAGTGTGGCGTGTCCAGGCTGCAAAACCGTCATTCACCTGCCGCGGCGAAGTGCTACCCTCAGTTACGGCGGCGGTGGCGGCTACAGACCTTTTCCCGCCTATCAGACGCAGCGGCCATCATATCTTCCGGTGGCTCCGCCGCAAGTGATGATGCAGCAGAACAGGAGGAGGCGCGCCGTTCTCTGCGGGATCACCTATCAAGGGCACAAGAAGAGTCTCAAAGGAAGTGTTAACAATGTCAGTTCCATACGTCAACTTCTTGTCTCTGTGTTGGGGTTTCCACCTTCATCTATCCTTGTCCTTACAGGTATTTATGTGTTTACTTTACCACGAATGTATTATATATCTCGAAATATGGGACTGGAAAATCTCCTATTATAAAGGACCATTTACAAAATTTACTCATGAATTAACTTTAATTGCTAATTGAAAATGAAGAACCGAACTAAACTGAAAAATATTGAAATTAAACATAACAAAACTGAAAAGCAATGAACTAAACCAAAAAGGTTGAAATAAACAAGCTAGCCCAATATATGCCTACTCTCATCCACTTGCTCTATTCCCATGTCTTATAGATACATGGTCTAAATGAAACTGAGTCATAAAGTATATTGATCAAATCAGAATAAAAGATTGATTTCGAAAGATTTGACTTATTTGTGCTCTCTGGAATGTGTTGTAGAAAACGAGAGAGACCCGAGCAGGATCCCGACCAAGGCCAACATCAGAGAATCTATGAATTGGTTGGTACGAGGTTGCCAGCCGGGAGACTCATTGGTGTTCTACTACTCGGGGCACGCCTCACAAGTGATAGATCGTGATGGAGATGAGGTGGATGGGATTGACGAATCAATTTGCCCCCTCGATTATGAGACAGAGGGAAAGATACTCGACGATGAGATTAATGCAAAACTCGTGAGGCCATTGACTCATGGTGTCACACTTCATGCCATAATGGACACCTGCTTCAGTGGAACCTCCCTAGATCTTCCCTTTGTGTGCAGAATGAACAGGTCATCTTATATGGGTTTTATTCCATCGGGCTAAACGTGTCCAAAAATTTGTATAACTATCTTAACCGTCGAATGATTGAAGCAGGGAGGGGTATATGAAGTGGGAAGATCATAGGAATCCATATAGCAGCATATACAAAGGCACTAGTGGAGGAACTGCAATAAGTATCAGTGCATGTGATGATGATCAGAACTCTGCAGACACTACAGTTAGTACTACTTCAACTGCAAAAGAGCAAATTAGTCCTCATGATTTTCGAAGCCATCTAATCTGTGAATGAGATTTTGCAGGCTTTCACCGGAAGCGCGATTGGTGCACTGACTTATAGTTTCATCAAAGCTTTAAATGAGAAGCCTAAGTTGACATATGGTCAATTACTTGTGTCCTTACAAAACCTAATTGCGCAAATCCAGGAGGAACCATTCTCAGATGGTACATCTGCACCACCACCTCAGGTAGAATTACCACATTAACCTTATATGCTTTGGAATTTAAGAATAAAGTTTAAAAATGACTTGTGCATTAAAAAAATTAATTATCTAACTAATTTGTAAACAATTATCTTGCAAAAACAGAGGAAACATGGTCTAGATTAGCTCTTCCCCTTACTCAAGTCCCTATTGTTGGGGAGCTTCAGCACCGGCTACGCCTTTTTATAAAGATACTCTTGGCAATGAGGGTTTAATTTTGGGATTTTTGCAGGTGCCTCAATTATCATCTTCAGAGAGGTTCGACATTCACTCCAAGATCATGACACTGTAGAAGCTCTGAATCTAATAATCTACCACGGAGTATATACATAAGCATCAATAGTTTTTAGAAACATGTCACATGGTGTGATCTTATAAATGTGAAGTATGTAATAAAGCTTCCTTCTATTATGCATGGTGAAGACTAAAAGTGAAATAAACTTGAGACGTGTTTTTTGTGTTTTACCAAATAAGGTAGCAACAATCTCTCGAAACTAAGAACTGCTCGGTAAAAGAAAAAGATCATCATCCGGAGTTAAATTATTTCTCAAATTTGGTCATTGGCTTTCTTTGTGGACTCAATTTGGTTCGCATGCCATGCCTACCTCGCGCAGATTAAGAATGATACTTATGTATGCTGAGAACTAAAGTGAGTCCAAGTTACGTGGTTTAAAACTGAAATTAGTCCTGAACCGGGCATGTATTCAGTATGTGGACAAACATGCCCTTTCACATTTCAACCAAACATAAATGATGCATCATGTAGTGCGGATTAGGAGTACCAGTTTTTTAGTTAAGGGAGCACAAGAAAGAGGCGCGAGACGCTGAGAACCAGCGAGAGTAAGAGCTATGGAGGTTTGGCCAGTCGGACGATGAGCAATAAGTGAAGTGGTGGAGCCAAAGAGACAGAACTCTTTCTTGCTCTTCTTCCTCCAATGTATTTATCATCTGCTCCAATGTTCTTTCTACCTCTGCTCTTCTGCTGACGCTCAAAACCGGAGTATCTGTGCCATTGCTTGCACGGCACAACAATGGCAACCATGACACCATCACATTCATGTTTGTTTCTCTAAGTTCACATTTCATGCTTTCTTCATCTGCCTCTTCCCACATCTTCATTGCTTGATCCAGTAAGAATGCTACAAAAACGAACGGTCGAATACACACATTATCATCACTTCAATTTCAGTCAACATTTTCCAATAATTTCTGAAAATGAGCTAAAGTGATGCTCTTTCATTAAGTCCACAATTTGAACACAATTGTATTATTGCTTACCTGAAACTTTGACGAGGGCGTCTTGAAGCCTTGGTTCAGCAGATAGAGAGACCCGAGCCAAATGTTGAGCAGAAGCCCACTTACAAAGAGCCTCCTGCGCACAGCCACAGGCTGTCATTTTATGAGCCAGCCATAGCAATTCCGCTGCCAGCTTCTCAGCGGAGAGCTCCAATCTGCGTAGGGCATCCCCGGATCTCCGACCCCGCAGCATAAGATCCCAATAGAACCCAGCCGCGCCTATAACGCGGCGGAACCTCTGGTAATGATCGGTGGTGGAGCTGCCTCCGCCTGGAATCCCAATTGCAGGATCCACCTGCCGATTCCGTACAATCAACGCGGATTCAAGCTGCTTAAGCGTCAGGCAAAACGCCGCCGATAACACATCGCAATTAACTTCCGTCAACAGGTTGCTCTCATAGGAAACATTTTCATCAATGAACTTCTCGGCCAACGATCTCGCGCCTTCATACTTTCTGGAACTAACCGGAATATCAGTCACGATGGACAAAATCTGCGCCAGTGCTCTAGCAATAGCCGGCTCGCGTCCGCGGCCGTCTACGGCCGCCGCACGAGAACTCTCCGACTTGATAGATCTAATCGGGAATTCGTTGTAGCCTTTAACAGCGAAAATTGAGGTCAAAAGGCGAAGGAAGACGAGAACGGCGGAGAGGATGAACCGACGAAGGAGGCGCAGAGGTTCGAAATTACGGAAGAACAGTATATAGGGCTTTCCGGCGAAGATGAACAAGGAGGTGAAAAGGCTTCTGAAAACAGAGGACGGCATGGTGGCCGAGGAATCGGCAATTTTGATTTGATTTGATTTTTTTCTGATGCTATGCGGCAACGTCGGAAAGTCTGAGAGACGATGATCGTATGCTCCGCCATTAAATACCTTATTTTAGCGGTTTAAACGATAAGCTAAAAGGAGAAGCGCCGCCATCAGCGATTTCTTGCACCGATGAAACACTGGGATTTATCTCCCTCTTTTTCTTTTTCTTTTTTTCTTTTTCCTTTTTTACTTGCACCGATAAAAATTTTACCGTGTGAGTTATTAAGCGGGAAAAACTTCTCAAATCAAAGAGGAACACACCTTTTATTCCTATTAAAATGAGTAAATTCCCAAAATAATCATGTTTTCCTAAATGGTTCTATGTAATTGAGATTTCTTCATAAATAATGTTACTCAAATGAGAATTAGTTAAAGATATTTTGGTATTTTTTTATCCACTAAATTTAGAATTAATTCTTAAAATAATTATTTATAAAGAAGTGTTTTCCCAAAACGGTTTTTTTCTAATTAAATATGTGTATTTGATTTGAAATTTAAAAGATTTTTTTATAATTCTAAAAAATTCATGAACTATTTATAGTTAATGTATTTTTTTAATTTTACATTTAATTGTATAAGAATAATTGTTTCGATAATATAATTTAAATTTGAATGATCAAAATACTAAAATATCTCCTAATTCTATTAAATTTATGTTATAATTCTATATATATATATATATACGGTGGAGTTCTAGTGCCACTGGAGTACGGTGCCACTTCGGTGCTACTGGCATTTTGGGGCATCTCCAGTGCTCCGTTCGCAAAATTGACGGTTCCTACCCCCCTAACCCACTCCCTAAACCCCCCACCCTACCCCGCCCATGTACCCCACCCCAACCCCGCCGTAAGCCTCCACAAAATGTGTGGCTATTATGCGTTCATAATAGCCACACATTTTGTGGGGGGCTTACGGCGAGGTTGGGGTGGGGGTGCAGGCGCGGGGGTAGGGTGGGGGGTTTAGGGGGTGGGTTAGAGGGGTAGGAACCGTCAATTTTGCGAACAGACCACCGGAGATGCCCAAAATACCAGTAGCACCGGAGTGGCACCGTACTCCAGTGCACTATATATATATATATATATATATATATATATATATATATATATATATATATATATATATATATATATATATATATATATATATATATTTCTGAAAATTAACATGTCTAACGGCTAACCTGAGAAAATATAACGACGACCGCGGTGCGACTTGAAGAGGAAGAATCTACAGACTACAGGATCAATCGAGCTATGGACGTGCAGGAAGAAGATGAGAAGACGATGATGAAAAGAGTAGCCGACTTTCTGAGCAAGGAGGTGAAAGATTGGGGGAATGAGGAGAAGATGAGATCTAGGTTTAAGGCACTCAGTGGGCAGAGGTGTGATTGGGAGCCTCTTTACCTTTTCTGGAGAGACCTGATCATCAAGGTATCTTCCCACATCAGCGTCTTCGTCGTCAATCCTCGCCACATCAAGCATCTCTGGTTTTGTCAAAGTGGATTGTCCCCTTTGTGCCTTGATCGCGTGCTCGTTGAGATGCGTAATTCCGGCGATCTGTTGCCGGTTCCGAATACTTCCGTTGGAGAAACGGAAGGCTGGCGATTCTCTCAGATTCTCCGTAAAGCAGCGCATTTGGTGGGATTTTCTCGGGGATCAAATCCTGTGGAGTGTCTAGTGGAGGATTTCTATGCATTGACCCCGCTCTTGAAGGTCTGTTTGGCAGCTATACTGTTTATGTTTATTTTTCCTTTACCATTTAACAGTAACAAGTTGGGCTTGAACTTTAGGGTTAGTTTGGATGGAGGGTTTCTGATGATTATCTGTGGTTGACTGAAATATATATGTAAAGATATTAACTTAGCCTCCTAAACGCCTCTACCCGAATTCCTAAATGACCATTATTTGAACATTTGCAGGAAAAGTCCGAAGAAGTTGTCAAGTATTTTGGTGAAAATCATTGGACGCCTTCATGTGTTGTTACAATGAGGAAGTTCCAGGAACTTTGTGGCGGTCCGAAAGAAGCTTCTGCAATAATGAGTTACTTGTCTGACTGCCGAAAAGCAAAGTACCTTGTAATCTCCAGAAATGACCGCATAGAGGTAAATAAAATGTGTTATCTTTAAGTGGTTGTGTACCCAACCCAAGAAATGCCTCCCAGAACCTAATCGGAAACAGCCTCTCTACTCCTTGGGGTAGAGGTAATGTCTGCATACCCGGGGTTTAAGTGGGATTTACCGGGTTTGGTTTGCTTTAGCAGCTTACATTTTAAAGCTATAGGTTCTTATGACCTCCAATTAGTTATTCCCTACGCGTTCTAAGGGCATTTCTTTCTTTCTTTTTTCTCAGGGAGTAAAAATATGTCTTGATTCAGGAGCTGTTCCTAACATCACAAGCATAGATTACAATGTTTTACACTTAATATGGACACTAGAAAAGCTTGAACAACAGCTTTGTCTAATCGATCAGCGTTATGAAAAGTATGACTCTCATTCTTTCCGCTCCTTCATTCTACTGTTTAGAATATCAGCTTCGAATAAGTTATGGGTGCCTATATCATGCTTTACTAGCTGAATAGTGCACATCCCTTATAGGCGTTTAAAGTTCACCGTTGGCTCCAAGCTTTCCAGCCCTAAGNAGGATTTTGGTGCACGTTGTTTGGTTTGTTAGAGGGGTGGTTATACAGAGAATTAGAGTGTCTTTGGTTTTAGAGGGTTGTGGGTGGGGGAGGGGAGGGAATAATAAAGTTCTCCCAACCTCCAAATGTTTTGAACCAACACCAAATGAGGGGACATGAGCATTATCCCTCCCCTATGCTCCAACCAGGCACACCTTTAACTTCTGAATTTTAGTTGGGTTTGGAATTATTCTATTCACTATTCCATTGGTTCATTTTGCAGAACAAGGAAGACGGCTTTAGCTTCATTGAAATGTGGCAACAAAATTGCTGCCTTGAGATGTGCAAAAGAACTAAAGTTGGTTTCTCAAAGTCGAGATAAATGCACCAACCTTGTAGACCGAGTCGAAGAAGTTCTCAGAGCTATAGCAGATGCCGAATCCTCTAAAAAGGTTGGTTGATATTCTCATGTTCCTCGGGCGCTCTAATCTTGTCTTTGTTTGGTTCAAAGTAAGGGAGGGGGACTCTGGGGGAATGAGGAAAAGGAAAGAGTTTTAAGAGATGTTTTGAGTTATATATTCGATATAACATTTTTTGTAATACTCTACGTAATGATATACAGATTTACTCCATAGCAGAACCCGTTAGATTTAGAGAAAATAAGGTAAAAAAGAAATTAGCAAAGTATATATGCCATCCTAACTTATCTTGAATGGGGGGGGGGTGTGATATGTGGTATTTGGAGGCGTTTATAGCTCCTTCACGCCCCCACCATAAAAAACAAAAACTCCCCCAACCAAACAATATTCCTCTCCAAAACCGTCGAACAAAACTAGGCCTTATTGTCTCTGCGGTTGATAATTTTCATGAAATAGGATTTGACCGCGTGACTGAATAAATATCAATAAATGGAATTTAAATATAAAAATTGCCTGATCAAAGTAGTGGGGAGATAATGATTTCCTGGTCATAGATTTTCTCTCACCTTATGACCTCTTGATTGGCAGGTTTCTGAGGCTATCCAAATCAGTGCACAAGCACTAAAGGATAATCAGATCAGTATTGAGGAAGTCACCATGTGTCTGGAGGATCTTGATGAGAGCATTGATACATTGAAGCAAGTTGATAAAGTTTTAGGTAAACATTTCTATCTTCTATGCTGCAGAAAAGTGTACGTTTAATTTGATTTTAGCCAATTACGTTAAAGTCAGAAGTAGAACAAGTCACCCCATATCCCTACCAAACAGAGCCTTAGCACATAATCCATCATTTCTGTTTGGTTTGAGCATGTTTGTCCAAGGATAAAACACATTAGGAATCGAAATAACTTTTTTATGCGGTTTTGGGAACCTTTCAGGATCAAATTTAGCTTTGACTGAGGTTGACGACGAAGACTTTGAAGGCGAGTTCATGAAACTCGAAGCTGAAATCAAATCCCAACCAAATCAAAACCCCATAAACCTCACAGAGGTTTCAACAGCCACTGATGCTTTGAGTGATGCTTTGTCAAATCTCTGTCTAAAAGAAGATGCAGATTCGGAGAACATGAAAGAGTATTCTATAAACACAAGCAAAAACCAGGTGTCAAAAGATGCTACTCTGTTACCTGCTTGATTATATTTCCTAGTAATTGTTTGACATAGCTCTCTAGACAAAAAAAAATCATGATCTAGGGAAGATGTGAATGTATACCAAAACAATCCACATATCCAAGATTGTGTTCTGAATGTACAGTATTATTTCTAGGATTTCAAGTTATTTGTATGCCAAAAAAGTTTACTTCATTGACAGAACTCGTTTGTGGCACAACTAGTACTAATCAGTGACACACAGATAAGTTTTACAAAAAATGTTAAGAGGACACCAAGATGGTGACACCAAGCTTTACACGTGGTAAATGCTTTTGACTCAACCTCCCGCTGCTCTATCTCCGATAGCACGTAGCCGATAATGAAGCGAGTGATCTAGGCTTGGGTATTCGCTTCTCTATTTCTTCCGAATGAGTTTCACATAGTGAAACGAAATGAGTTTCACTATTCGTTGAACATAGTTCAACTCATTTCGTTGTTTCACTCGTAGTTGGGGATGCGAGGAGCTGTCGATCTAATCAACTATGTATTTTAGTAGACACAGAGAGGTTTGTACACGCACAGACATTTGTGTAATGCTTGATATCAAAATGGTGTCACAATCTTGGTGTCCTCCTAGCACAATTGTAAGTTTTATATGTGAAGTTCAAAAACGGATGGTGTAAACTTGGTGCACACCAAGCATGATTCTTAATAAGCATTCAAACGGACTCGAATGAGGTTAACCTTAGTACATGTTTGGTTGTTTGCTAACACACATGTATAAGGTCGTGTTTGACCCGAATTTGGTCTTAACTCGTCTCTTCCACATAGACCATCAAAATGTCCATAACATTTTGCTGT